CTCCCCAGGTCTAGGGCGCAGGCCAACCTGTGGAAAAGGCAACACCTCTGATCACCTTCACTGCCTCACTCTCCGATGGCTGAGGGCTCAGAGGTGGCAAAACCCACCCACCACTGACACACACAGCCATTCTCACAACCGCCAGGACCGCATCTCATCTGAGAAATCATTGGCAGGGCACCGTTATTGGGTCGTTGAAGAGCCACTGCTCAAGGGCAGTGTCCCCAGATGTCCACAGCAGTGACTGGCCAGGGCCCGTGGCTGCAGCCTTGCCCCCAGTGGCACCTACCTGTGAGAGTAGTTCACGGAGGTGCTGACGGAGAGCTGGCCAGGGGTAAGCATTCAGCACTCTGAGTCACCATGACTGTTGTTGGTACAAAGCTGGACTCCCTCTGTGCTGCGGGGCCCACCCTGTTTCCCCCGCAGGGACCACATCTGAGCGTGGAACCCTGCCCAGAAGGGCCAGCCGGTCCTGGGAAGATGCAGGGGCAGAACTCAGGCGTCGGCTGGCTGAGAGGTAAAATGTCTCCATGGCAGTGAAACCCACCCCCCAGAGGGGGTCACTGGTTTTGGTTTTCCAGGCCACGGGAGGGCAGCTGAAACCCACAAGCTGGAGAAACTGGGGTGCAGACCAAAGTGGCTCATCGCACCAGATCACAAGCTCCCTGGGGCCCTGATGGAGTTGGAACAAGCTGGGAAAGTCGGCCAAGCCCAGAAGTGCATCTCCCTTTCCCCACGGCTGGGAAGCCTCTCAAAGACTGGAACCCGAGGAGGAACCTGTGTGTAGAGATGGCTGTGAGCTATGATGTGGCGGGGATGCCAGGAGCAGGCAGGGGATCCCATAGGGCTGTGGAGGAGGGCCATCTCCAGGGTGGAGGGAGAAGGAAAGAACCCTTGCCTCCTGGGTGGCTCTCGCTCCAGGAACGCCCATCTCTGCTGCCAGGAGGTGACTGACCCTCTGTGTCCCCAGTGATGCAGAACCGATTGTAGCATATGTAGTTCTGCGCTAATGTAGGGAAATATATGGAAACTGGGGCTCTGAAAGGACACCAGCTGGCCTCAATGTCACCCAGGCGTCCTGACTTCCAGACCAGCCTCTTTCTACTTTGCTAGTGAAATCGTCGAAGGAGATTCTTTAAATCCCAAATCCCAGGCCTTACCCTAGGCCGGTGAAATCAGAGTCTCGTGGTGGCAGCAGTGGTGGCAGCATTGGAATTTTGTCACAGTCCAGCTCATATTTTGGGCAGTCGGGGTCACTGTCCTGCTGCCCAGACACCGGCCTGCTCCTGGCTGGCTTGATCCATTGGCTGCAAAGTTCTGGATGATGCTTGAAAACATCGTCTCTCTAAAGCAACTTACGGACCTTCTCCCTGAGATCTCGTCTACATTTGCTCTCTCGGCAGAACCACCTCTTCGTAGATGGTTCCGAGGTCAACTCTAAATGATCAGAAGTTCCTGACAAGCAGAGAACATTCAACTTCCCCTTCTCTGGTCAGCCTTTGCTGAGTTACCACCACTCACACACCCTCCCCTTCCTGAGGGTTTAATCCCTCTCCTCTACATGGCCCCAGCTGTACTCCCATCCTGGACAATGAGCACCTGCCTCTACATCACTCCCACTCCCACCCTCGGCCGTGAGCTCCACGTCTAACTCATCCTCCCATCCCCAGTCTCTGGCATGCGTTCCCGGCAAATGGATGAACATTGAGGTTTACCTGTCATGATGATGACATTCAACAGAACTTGAGAAATGAACATGAAATACTGAGACACCTCCACTGAGAGCTTCGATGCACTCTGACCCACCCATCTTGATGTCATCATCGAAGAAGCAGCTTTGAAACCCCTGACCTGGGAGGCGGCTCCTTTGGGTAACTGAAGCCCTGTGAACATTTGTACTCTGAAAAGTTGTGTAGAGCTGTCATTTTAAGAAAAATTCCCACTTTCCTTCATCCTAATTTACACAAAATGTGCTTTATGGGTGCTGTAGAGTGAATGTTTGTGTCTCCTGCCAAATTCATATGTTGAGGTCCTAACCCCCAATGTGATAGTGTTAGGAGGTGGGGCCTTTGGGAGGTGATTATGTCGTGAGGCTGGAGCCCTCATGAGTGGGATTAGTGCCCTTGAAAAAGAGGTTCCAGAAAACTTCCTTGCCCCTTCTGCTCTGTGAGGACCCAGCAAAAAGACAGCTATCTTGAACCAGGAAGTAGGCCCTCACCTAGACACCGAATCTGCCAATGCTTTGATCTTGGACTTCTCAGCCTCAGAACTGTGAGAAATAAATTTCTGTTAATTTTTTTTTTTTCCTGAGGAAGATTCGCCTTGAGCTAACATCCACTGCCATTCTTCTTCTTTTTGTATGTGAGCCACCACAACAGTATGACCACTGACAGACGAGTGGTGTAGGTCTGTGCCTGGGAACTGAACCTGGGCTGCCAAAGCAGAACGTGCTGAACTCAACCACTCGGCCACCGGGGCTGGCCCCAATTTCTGTTGTTTATAAGCCACCCAGTCTATGGTAGTTTGTTATAGCAGCTTGAACAGACTAAGACAGTGGGTCTTCAAAAAATAGCAAACAGCTACAATGCCCCCCAAACACCACAGCCTCTACGTCAAGTACTCAATGGACACATAAAATATTAAAGGCAGCAGCAGGGCTCCGATCATCACAGGAAACTTATTCCAAGGTAAGCAGCAGGGCCATGGGGTGGGGAGAACTGGAAGGTCAAGGTCCTGGCTCTACGGCCCTGGGCACTGCCTCCACACACACAGACGCCCACCCTCAGGCAGGGGCTGCCTGGGGTGGGAGGGTCTCCATGTGCAATGACTCCACAGGCTGTGGGGGGCTCTGTGGAGACCAACAGCAACCAAAGGGGGGCTCCGTGATGGAGCATGAGGCTCCACAGGCCGGGACATTTGCAAACACCGTGCACTGGCCGGGCCTGCTTTCTGTGGAAGAAGGGGAAGTGGATGAGGGAGAAGAGAGCATCAGGGCCTGGGTTGTAATATGGAAAGCCCAGTGGGATCCAGGTTATAACTGGAGGTGTTTTGGGGGCATACATGGGCGGAGGGGGCTTCTTCCTGGGCCTGCCTCAGAGCTGACGCTCAGTGGTCCACAGCCAGGCCCTCACCCTCTCGCCTCACTGTGTCCGTCAGGCCTGCCACTTCCTCTCTAGGACAGTTTTCTCCAGGCGCCCATCAAGGAGCGTGTGCCCCAGCCAGGCACATGGCGGAGACTCAGGGCAAGTTTGTGAAACAGAACCAGCTCTCACAGCCTCACTCCTCCTTTGCACCACGCCCCTCTGGCTTCTAGCTTGGTCATCAGCAAGGGACGCTGTGAGCGCAGAGCTGGGTCTCGGTTCAACCCATTGCGGGCAGGTCAGAGGCAGACTGAGAATCCACGCCTTAGGCCCGTTTGGTCAACAAGGAGACAGAAGATCAGAGGATTGGGAGGGGTTGACAGAGCATTCTGGTCTCAGCTGTGAGAACCTTTGCTCCAGGGTGGAATTGAACGAATAAAGAAGGAGGGGGGTTTCCATCCCGGTCTCATAAAAAGGCAGCGTGAACGATCCTCAGCTGCCACTGGACCCATTAAAGGCCTAATTTCCATTCACCTATAACTTTATTAGGCTCATCCGAGCTATTCATCAGACAAGCCTGTCTTGAAAAGAGGGATAGTGGCTTTTATTAAAACGTCTTCTCGGTGGCAAATGCATTAGGTTTTATGGCCCTGCACATGGATCTGCCTTCACAATGGGAAAGAGCCTCTTCACCATTGATGGGGCCGACAGAGGTTACAGGTGAGACACTGGGAGACCAGATGTCCAAGACACCCGTCTTCATGCAGGGGCATTGGTGTCTGGAGTGGGTCCTTGCCACATCTCCGGAAGTTTGGGTAAAAATTTCCATCCTGGAGAGTTACCAGCTGACTCACACAGCCCCGGCCCCCCCAATTCCCAACTGCCCTGCCCTTCAGCCATGCGCTGGAGCCAATGTGTATTTTTGGAAACTGGTCCCAGGGTAGAGCCTGGAGAGTCTGGATAAGGGGTGGCCGGGCTGCTGGAAAACTGTGATGGGCGGCCCTGGGGACACAGGGCTTGGCAGGTTGTTAAAAACGTGGAGGAGAGGAGACACAAGAGGCTGGACAGACCGAGAGCCGCCCAACAGTGGAGCATCAGGGAGAAGAGCCCCAGTGCCCAGCCCTGGCACTGGGGGAGGAAGGGGCCCTCCCTGACTTATCAGGAGTTCGCAGGTCTTCTCTGCCTTGGATAAAAATCCCTGTGGAGATGAGTGGCGACAGGGATGAGACTGAATCCCTCGGAATCAGGACCAGGTCTGCAGCTTTGCCACTGAGTGGCCTGGAGCAAGTTATTTAGCCTCTTTGAGCCTCGGTCTCTTCCTCTGTAAAATGCAGCCCACATCCCCCATGATGCTGAGCTGTTGGCAGACCTCACAAAGCATCTAGCAACGGGCCTGGCATGTAGCAAGCCAGGAACTCACATCTGCTGTTAGTATTGTAATCGCAATAGTCCCCTGTGATGAGCAAGTATGAGGGTGGCCGCAGTGCCAGGGGTCGTGCCCCGGGCTCAACGAGAGCAAGGGATCTGGGATATCAACTCTTCAAAGTATATTCCAAAGCTGAGTGGCTGCCAAGTCCCTATTAATCAAACAGAGGGTGTCCACGGTTTCACATTTGTCTACCTGTCCCAGGAAGAATTTCCAAATAATTAGCTGTTGTTGACAATACCTGCAATGTTACTAAAGAGAATATAGTGAAACCCCACACATCTGACATAAGCGTAGGAGCCTGTCTCTCGGGCTCTTGTGTGGATTAAATGAGGCGAATCACATGAACAACCTGGAACTGAGTACTGGTTGTGTGTGCGTGTGTGTGTGTGCGCGCGCGCGCGCGTGTGTGGGGGGCGGGGCATACAGATCTTCCTTGACTTACGATAGGGTTACATCACAATAAATCCATCGTAAGTTAAAAATATCATGAGTCAAAATGCGTTTAATACACTTAACCTACCGAACATCATAGCTTAGCCTAGCCTCCCTTAAATGTGCTCAGAACACTTACATTAGCCTACAGTTGGGCGAAATCATCTAACACGAAGCCTATTTTATAATAAAGTATTGACTATCTCATGTAATTTATTGAATACTGTCCTGAAAGGGAGAAACAGAATGGTTGTATATGTGTCGGTTGTTTACCCTGATGATCACCCGGCCGCTGGTAGCTGTGGCTCGCTGCCGCTGCCCAGCATCACAGAGTATCATACCGCATATCACTAGCCCAGGGAAAGATCACAAATCAAAATTTGAAGTATGAACCATCATAAGTTGGGGACCGTCTATACTTAGAGAGAGAGTTTTCTTTGGGATTCTGGCTACCATCATGAAACAAAATGGCAGCCAGCATATTTTCCATGGGCAGATCCTGGTTATTCGTGGGGTGTTTCCCGCACTGGTAGGGGTTGGTCATAGACGGAGGTGAAGACCAGGGTGGAGCCTGCTTACCTCCTGAGCCCAGATGCTACTCTGGTGCCCGATTACAGGATGGGCGTCTCCAGCATGAGAGGACCTGGACATCCCCTCCCAGACCCTGACCCACTGCTGCCCATGAGGTCTCCTGGCTGCGGTACAGGGTGTCCAGAGGGAGCAGGTCAGGGGCTCTGAACGAGACTGGAAGATGGAGAGTTTGGGACAGGGGTGAGGCATGATCAATGTAGGTTTTAACAGGCTGAGACTAGACCGCCAGGGGACAGGGCAGAATTGATGGCAATAATCCAGATGAGAGGCGGTGATGACTTGGACCAGGCTCGGAGCAGTAGAAATGAGAAGAAACAGGCAGATTCTGGATAAATTGTGGATGTTGCCTATGGGGTTGTTGACAAATGGATGTGGTGTTTGAGAAAGAGAGAGAGAGGTCCAGGGCAACCTCAGGGTTTGGCCTGGACACTGGAAGGGTGGAGATGCCATCAACTGAGATGGGGAGGCTGGGAGGAGCAGGTGGGAGGGGACCAAAGCTGAAAGGAGCCCAGGGGTTCACCCCGAGCCCACTGGGAGCCCATTTCAGGAAACAGGAGAAGGAGTGGAGGGCAGGGAAGTGGGAGATCCAAGGACCACCCTACCACCACTTCCCACCACCCGTCTGCCTTCCGATACCCGTCTTCAGGAGGGCTGCCCAGCAGAGCCCCTGCTGAAGACCAGAGCCTCCCACTCCTGCACAGGCCCAGGCCTGTGAGCATGTCTCTCAAGGTAGAGAGAAAAAACACCTTCAGGGAGGCGATCTGCACGACTCCTTCTCACTGCCCGCAGATAACACAGCCCTGAACTTCTAACACAGCTAAGTGTTCCCTCAAAGGAACAGTCAACATCCGGCCCTGCCGCCTTCTCCTTGATGGGGCGCCCCGTCTCCTGGCTCAGCACCTCTCAGCCCTGAGCCTGCTTGGTCATTCTGCATGAAGGTGCAGCTTTCCCGGTGAAGAATCAGAATTCCTCTCACTTCAGAAATAAAACATATATGTCTGCCAGTGGCCTCACATCTCTCCCTCTCCATTCTCAGCATGAAGCTCAGGCTCTTTATAATTCATCAAAAAGGCCACACATAATGAGCTCAGCTCTTACTCTGCTGCCGGGGCTGTCAACTCACTTTTTAAGAGCCCCGCACCCTGGCTGAGGACACTTAGATCCTATCGTCCTGAGGCTGGGGATGAATCTCCTGTGTGTCAGGCCCCTAGCTGAGCCAGCACTGCCCTCCTCTTCCTGAGGACCAGCTGTGTGCAAGATGGCCGGCTAGGGGCTTTCACAGATGCCATCTCACATAATCCTCCTGACAACGCTGGAAGGAAGCTGCCCATTTTGCACATTGAAAACTGAGGTACCAAGAGGGTTAGTGTCTTGTCCGTGGTCCCTTAGCTGGTGTGTAGTAAAGAATTAACCTTATCCAAAGAGAGGTCTGCTCTTTGCCCTCGGCTCCTGGGAGGTGATCTCTAAGCCCTTGGAATGTCCTGCCTGATAAGAGTGACTTTGTTTACCTGGGGTCCTTGGGCCACATGAGAAAGTCTAACAATGTGATTTAGGGTGAAGGCTTTGGGCTGTGCGGTACCAGCTAGACCTCCAGAAGGTCTGGCGACATGCATGCAGAGTCAATCATGTCTACGTGATGGAGCCCAATAAAAACTCTGGACACCAAGGCTCAGGGGGCTTCCCTGGTTGGCAATACTCCATGCATGTTGTCGCGTGTCATTGCTGTGTCCACAGCTCCACTGGGAGGGGACAAGTGGAATCTCCACTCATGGAACCCTCCTGGCCTCTGTCCCGTGTGTCTCCTCCTTGGCTGACTTTAATCTGTCTCCTTTTCCTGTAATAAACCATAAGCATGAGCATGACAGCTCTCAGTGAGTTCTGTGAGTCCTTCTAGCAAGTGATTAAAACTGAGGGTGGTCTTGAGATCCTCAAATTTATAGTTGGTGTCAGAAATGAGAGTGGTCTTGGAGACCCCTGAACTCTGACATTGGGGCCAGAGGTGAGGGCTTGTGACCTGTTGCCTCCCTGGTCTCCTGGACTGTGAGAGAATAAATTTCTGTTGTAAGCCAACAGAAGCTCAGCACTAGGACCTCAGCAGCTCTGCAACTCACCAGCCATGAGTTCGTGGTAATTTTACAGCAGCCCTAGGAAACAAATACAAGCCCTCTCCCTTCTGGAGGCTTCTGCTGCAGCACCTGTCTCTGCTTTCAACTCTGCGAGAAAGGCCCCTGCTCCGGAAGGATGTCCAGTCTTTCTCAGGCCAACAGCAACTTCCCTTCATTGTCCATTCATTCACTCAACTACTGTGGCCACGAGAACATGCCCAGCAGCCCCCAACAGCAGCTGCGCCCTGAAACCCACAGCAGTGTTTGCCCCGAGGCCACCTGCAATATTGTGATTTATAAGAAATATACATTTGGTTATTCAGATGACCAAAATATATTTCTCATATATATGTGGTCTCTGTCCACGGTTCCCAGCTCACAGCTCCCACAACCCTTGGAATTTCTTGTTTCTGTTAATAAAGGTGACTTTTGGACCTCACCCAAGGGTAGGGGCTGGTTGCCAGGAGAACCAGCCATGTGATCAGAGGACTGGAACTTTCAATCCCACCCCCTGATTTCTGGGGATTGGGGGTTGGGGGTAGGGCTTGAGTCAATTGCCAATGGTCAGTGACTTAATCAATCATGACTGTGTAATGAAGCCTCCACCAAAACCCAGAAGGACGGCCTGTTGGCCTCCCTTTCTGGAGAGCCTCCACGATGGGGAGCCAGACCACTCCCACGTGCTGCTGTGCCGGGCCCCAAGCTCCATGAGGACAGAAGCTCCTTTATTTGGGACCTCGCCCTGTGTATCTCTTCATCTGGCTGTTGATTCGTATCCTTCAATATCCTTTGTAATAAATCGGTAATCTAGTGAGTAAACACGTATTCTCGAGTTCTGTGAGCCATTCTAGTAAATTAATCGAATCCAAGGAGAGGGGTCACGGGAACCTCTGATTTAGAGCCAGTTGGTCAGAAGCACAGGCAACCACCTGGGCTTGTGGAGGGCGGTCTTGAGGGACTGAGCTCTTTCCCTGAGGAATCTGATTCTATCTCCTGGTAGACAGCACCAGAATTGAGTTGTATTCTCAGACACCCTCCTGGTGTCCCAGAACTGCCTGTTAGTGAGGGGAGACCTCCACACACACAGTTGGATTTGGGTGCAGGGACCCTTCGCACCACCCTTCCCATGGACTGCCCCCAGCCACGACTGCCCGCAGCAGACCCATTCCTGGGGCACTCGGGACTCTGATGGCCAACTTTGGCCCAAGGATTCCCCAAGAGCCTCGCCAAGCCTTGCTGAGGCTGCACGTCAGCTGAGCACGTTTCCCTGCGAACCTCCTCCCTCTCTCCTTCACTGGGCGTGGGATCCATGGATCAGCCAGTGCCTCCAGCCTTTCCCAGCCCCTCCCTGTTTTCTCTCATTCGGGCTATGTTAGTTTCCTGCAGCTGCCATAATAAATCACTACCAACTGGGTGGCTTAAAACAACAGAAATGAATTCTCTCACAGATCAATTCTCGGACCAGAAGTCCAAGATCAAGGTGTTAGCAGGCTTGGTTCCTTCTGGAGGCTCTGAGGGAGAAACAACCCATCAATCTCCCAGCTTCTGGTGGCTGCCAGTGATCCTTGGCCTTCCTTGGCTTGCAGCTGCATCGTCCAATCTCTCCTCCGTTGTCACGTGGCCTTCCCCCTGTGTATCTCTGTGTCATCTCCTCTTCTTATAGGGACAGTAATCATTGAACCTAGGGCCCACCCTAAATCCAGGATGATTTCATCTTGAGATTCTCAACTGATTATGTCTGCACAGACCCTGTTTCCAAATAAGGTCACATTCTGAGGTCTGGGTAGACATGAATTTTGGGCGGACACTATTCCGCTCATTACCCAGGCTTTCCCCCTAATGAAATCCTGTCTTGGCTTCTGACTGCCAGTGGACCTGCACTAACACGCCCTCTTTGGGCGCGGCACTGTGCTAGGTGCTGGAGCTACAAAGGTGGACCACCCAGACGCAGCCCCTGGCCTCACGGGACATAAGATTTGGGAATGGGGCAGGTGGGGAGAATCAGGCCAGGGGTGGAGGTGCGTTGTGCACGGGGACACCCACCTCCACCCTGCTTCCCTGCCTCCCGGGGAGAGGCTCTGGTCCCTCTGTTCCCACCAGAGGGAGAAAGACCAGGTTCCAGAGCCAGGCCCCGGCTTCCAGGGTGTACGTGCTCCAGAGGCTGTCGTGTTGATGAAAATACCACGGAGACGTCTGCAGGGCTCTTCCTCTCACTGTCTCTCCGGTGCCCGAAATAAATGAAAAAGAGACATTCCTGGCAGGGTCTGCGGAGGCACTCCACTGCAGGAATGAGAATTGGCTGCAGCATCCAAGAAATCCTCGAACGGAAAGGGATTTCTAGGACACACCTCTAGGAACGGAAAATGTCAGTAGTGAAGCCAGGATGGGGGGGTAAGCTTGCCGCCGAGTGTGTCTCTGCATGTCT